ATGCCCGAAGTGTAAGTGGTTCTGTATGTATGTATGTAATTAAACTTTAAATTTGTTTTTCCATCCTACAATATTATCTTCTGTTTGTTTTATTCACAGATTCTGCGGTTTCCGTGGTTTCAACATGAATTTACATTTCGCGCAGGCTTTGGCGATTGATCATCCCTTATGCAGTGTCTGCTTAGCTAGTAGATATGGAAGTGCTTTGCTATTGCTGCCAGCGTAAAACACCAGATCGGTGCCTCCCGCAATCTTTCCACCGCTTTATTGTACGAATTCCTTGCAAATTAATTATTAAAATTTTTGTTGTGCACTTCGGGCGGTATGTGGCAGACGAATTCAACAAATAACAGCGGGTCTGTTGCNCAGCTAGTAGCTATGGAAGTGCTTTGCTATTGCTGCCAGCGTAAAATACCAGATCGGTGCCTCCCGAAATCTTTCCACCGCTTTATTGTACGAATTCCTTGCAAATTAATTATTAAAATTTTTGTTCTGCACTTCGGGCGGTATGTGGCAGACGAATTCAACAAATAACAGCGGGTCTGTTGCTGGAAGCAATTTGCAGAACGATTCCAAGGTGATCGTAGCATCAACGTCCAACACTAATTCTTCAGCAACCGCAGCAGTCACTGGTGCAACCGTTGTGACTTCACCATCTAGCACTCCCACCCAAGCCACCTACTATCTTATATACCACAATGGATTTCCACTAAGTATTCCACCGAATACAGTGCCACCACCATTTACACCTGCGCATTTTACCAGTACGACCAACTCTGGCACATCCCCTTCGTCGGGACAAGTTACACAGTCTGCAGTTGGCGGAGCTTATAGTTTGCTTGCGAACACATCAATAACTGCTGCTGCAGCTGTAGGTACAAGAACAACAGCAGGAAATACTTNTCTGGCACATCCCCTTCGTCGGGACAAGTTACACAGTCTGCAGTTGGCGGAGCTTATAGTTTGCTTGCGAACACATCAATAACTGCTGCTGCCGCTGTAGGTACAAGAACAACAGCAGGAAATGCTTAAACAGCAACAACAACGAAGAAGGCGGCAACGAATA